GGGCTGGTCCAGCCGCGCTCGCCCGGACGGCCCGGCCCCAGCGCCGTGGCCCTTCGCGGCGGAGCCCGCGCGCCCAGCCTCGGCTCCTGCCAGCACACCGGGCTGCCGCTGGCCCGTCTCCAAGTCGGTCGCCTCTCAAGCCCGCCCGAGTCGGCTGTTTGGAGGCGCTCGCATTCATACCTATCTCCTGTTTTCTATAGTCCTTCGCGTTTGGTCGCTGTGCCGGATTGGACTGGAGTCCTGCTACAAAAAATAAGAACCTTGCACCTAGAAAATCTGCTTGCAGCTCCTTCCTAATACAGATCCCAGGCCCAGCGGTGGATTCCTTCACTCGAGCAGAACGAGCCTTTGCTCCTACAGGGATTGCTTTGTAAACATACAGGAGAGGTGTACTGTGGCAAAGGAAAAAAATGTGTACTTAATTTGGGGACTATTCTCAATATCCCTTTTCCCCCTTGTGGATCTTTGCCACTGGTGGAAAGGCTGTTTGTGGCAGTGCTAAATAGATGGGTGTAAATATAACTTTTCCTGAGTTGGAATGGGGGTAAAATTGGGAGTTATGTAATAGGGGGTTCAACCAGTGGGTCAGAGCAATGAATGGGAAGTCAAGCATTAGTCACTTTCTTCTGATTGGTCCATTAAGTAGTTTTCAAAAATTTAATCCTTAACTGGTGTCAAAGAGCTTCCTTTAGATCTCAGGAAACAGAATGTCCTGTTCTATCTTTGTATGGAACCTCCTTATCCATCAAGAACAAGGTGAGAAAAACATGGCACCAAGCAATTAAAAAAATGAATAAGACCTAAAATTTTGTTAGGGATGTAGATGCTAAATTAGAGCCTGATTTCCCTTTCATAAAATCCACTAGACAGGCAGTAGACAGAAGGCAGCAATTCTGGAGGCCAATCTTAGTCTTCCTAATCTTGGCCAAAAAAAAAAGCTGTTGCCAAGACCAAGACAATCATCATCTAGTGCCAAAACCATGTTTGCTCATAGCTTGTATGAGATAGGCTGCCAGGTGCAACCAGTCCTGTCCCCCTTCAAAAAATTATACTATCTGCTCCACCATTTTGTATTTTTTTCTTATTGTGAAAAATAAGGAAAACCATCCATTCAGGTTTTTATGTTGTCACAGAGATGAATAAACCAAATTTTCTTTCACCATCTCGTTTTCTGAATTGCTTCCATAATGCAACCGAGTGTTCTCCCCTGGTAGAAACACTTCGGCACTTCTCTGGGGAGAGATAATGGTTTAATTACTGTTCAAAGAGCTGTCTTTATAATGAGATCTGTACAGCTTTCTCCATAATGGACTTTTTCACTTTGCAACAGTTTCTTCCTACTGTTGCTGAACTGGGTGAAAACTGGAAAGGTGGGATCTTTCCATATTATGCTAAGCCCAAACCAAGAGAAGCCTATTGCAAACCTGTGTGTGAAACCTTTGCATGAGAAGGGTCGTTGCATGAGAAGGGCTTGTGCCTGCCATCTTATTCCCAGTTGTGTGTGATTCTCTTTAATCAAGAATTGTAGCTTCTGGTATCATTGGTATCCAAAGCAGTTCCTGTTTAGGTTCAGTTCCAGTTTAAAAACTGGAAATTATAATATTTTAAATGTATATGCCATCTGACTTACAAAATGACTTTATAAGCTTTTTAAAAAAGTTATTTTAGTTTTTCAAGGTAAAGGAAAAACTTTAAAATGCATATACAAGCCATTCCATAGCTATAGATGAAATTGCAGAATTTAAAATCAGTTCAGGACTACCCGCAATTTAATAGGGAAGATATTCTTCCAACAAGCTGAACGTAGGAATTGTTGCAATTTAAAAGTTTGAGGTGAAGCGATGTCTGCCATATGATTGAAAGAAACTTTCTGCTTTCTGGTGCAGTTAGTGAATTGCTCCTGTGGATGATTTTAAGATTAGCTCTGCTGGATCAGGCCAAGGCCCATCTTAACCCAGCATTTGTCCTAAATCCAGGTAGCACATTGGCCATATGCCAGAGCTTGGGTTTCTACCACCAGGCCCTTGCAAAGGCTGTGACGGAGGGGAGAACCTCATCGCTTCCTGGGCTCCCTTCGCTTGTTATTCACTCCCATTCCAGGAGCTGGAGACATCTTGTGTGAAGCCAACATGTGGCTCCTTTGGGGTCACCTTGGTTTGTTCTGTGAATCACGGTTGGGCTTGGCAGTTGTACCCTAGTGTGAAGCCAACTGTGGCTTACTCAAGAAATTCTAATTAAGCAAACCAGGACACGGCGTGAGCCAGGCTGAGGAATCCACCGGGACAGCTGAATCTCCTGGGGCTTCCCTGTTTTGCAGGCTTGTAAGGATCCCTGATTTCCATCACTCTGGGTTTTAGGACGATCTGTCTGCAAGGCCTTTACTTCTGAACTGCATGTGTTTATTTGCTAATGACACGGGGAACCCCCACCCCCCCTTTGATTGTTTGCCTCAGGCTGGTGCCAAGCCAGACTCAGGAGGCTTCGTCCTCACCCAAAACAGCCGTTACAAATGGCGGCTTCGCCGGCCTGAGGACAGAAGGGCGCATGCGTGGCCTCGCGGCTGCGCTCCGCCACCAGCGCAGGAAACGGATTC